TAAAGGTTCGTAAGCGTAATCGCGTAAGCGAGGCATGCCTCCGCGTGTGCGTCGACGTATATATATCGCGATGCGGGCACGTGTACATACACGCCGCCGACTCAACGATTCGTACATGTACAGCGGTCGAACGAAATGACCAAGTTGTGGTCGAGAGAGACACAGCTTGTCGCCGTCAATGAAATAGTTGGATCTGTCAGTGCCAACTATCGCCTCGCTCTCGGCGGAGCGTTTTAGGTTTGATCTATCGCGTTGCCCGATCCGGTTGCTTACCAAAGATATTTTCTCTCTGCCGCTCAGCTGCCACCCACCCCGAATCTCGTAGTGGACGGTCCCCATTCTCGAGACGAAAGGGAGGAGAGGATAGAGAAGTCTTTGAGAGTACGCCGTAGTAAATCGAAATCGAAATCGGAATCGGAATCGGAATCGGAATCGGAATCGGAATCGAAACTTGGTATCGCCGTCGTCTCGGAATCGTTCTCGGTCCATCGTTGCGAAATAAAGAAGAATAAGCAGAGCGGGGACGGAGATGTGGCGCGGTCGGTGCGCTTCGCGGTAACATAACACCGAAATGATATGAATTCGCGTAACGCGCTGCACCGTTACCGGAGTCGCAATCAATTGAAATTGGTATGTTCATGACTCGTTTCTTCGTTGCTTGCCATCCGACAAGTCGTCTAACGCGATTCAACCCTCGCGAGTATTGTGCAATCACGACACAACCTTCGTGTGCCCCTCGACGTGCATTGCCGACGCGAGTCTCTCGCGTTCTAACAAGATATGGAGTGCAGGACACGGGGATAGTATGAGGACGAGGGCCCGGAGAATATCTTTTTTCATGAGAAACGAGAGGGATGTGTTCGAGAACGTGCCTCGCGGGTCACGGGAACCAAGTAACAAAACGTATGTTAAGTTATTGCTCCTCATGGTCGAACTTAAACACGTGGAGTAATTTATCAATTTGTGAATATGTTACGGAAGTGCTTCGTACTCGCGCGCCACGAACGTTAAACGACAATGTTTGCAAATGCCGATACGTGGATATCGCTCGACACTTTTCACTTTCGATTTCTCGTCGTCGATATTTTTTCACCGTTCCGTGCTCGATTTTGCGGTAGGCATCTACCACGCACGCCACTACTGCTATACCTTTCCCGCAATGTACCGCGACTACCGTGGCGTCGACGAAACAACATTTTTCGCGCTAGACTCGCACGCTCGACTCGACCGATGGGTTGACCGTCAGCGGACGAGTGGTACGCGTCGCGTGGAAAACCAGCATTCGAAATCTCGAACGTTTCCATCGCTCGCTTATTTTCCTCTTTCCCTCTTTTTCTCTTTTTCTCTTTTTCTCTTTTTCCGCCTCTCGCACACGCATACGGACGCGCGCGCGCGCGCGCGCATACTGCCCCTTTGCTCTCCTCTCTCTTTGCGCAATTTCGATTTCTGCCAGCCAGCTCGCACTCGATCGGCTCGTTTTCTCGTCTCTCGACATTTCACTGATCATCGAATCGTCGAGCAGTTTGGTCCCGCTCACGAGTGTATTTCATGTTTAAACGGCTCGACTGTTTGCGAATCCGCAGCTCGAGCGGAACAACGTACGAAACGCGCGGCGACACATGCGAGTTCTTGAAAGATTCGACGCGCGGCACGTTCGATGATGCCGTGATTGTCGGGGAATATGGAAATTCCGTCGACTAAAAGAGGCTTTAATCGTGACGTTACTACGCGCGAGTTTTAAAATTCAATGCCAAAGCGAAACACTTGATTCCTGGACTAATCATAAACGTTGTTACGTAACTGCTCTTTTTGGAAGTAGATAAAGATACGCGTACTACGCACGATAACGACGGAAACAATATTTTTAATTAAAATCGTTTGCACACGAATCGTCGTTGTAAACACGAGTGAGCAAGCGTCGAGTATTTATCGACAAATGGGTAACGATCGACAATTTTTCCGCCCGTTTCGCGCTATGCCCGTACGCGCTCGCGCTCGCGCGCGCACACACACGCGAAACACACGGACGCGCACGTGTTGGATGTTTTTCAAATATTATTCTTTGCAAAACAATATCCGGAGATTCGTTAAATGCAGGATTCGATTTCGCAATGATACCGTCCGTAACGTTTGCATTTGTTTGTTTCCAGAGTAAGCGTTCTGAGAAATTGTTGCACAAATGCTGCAACACACCCACATGTATCCGTTTCTGCCGAGAACGAACAAAATTTTCAGATATGCAGCGAAACCTGTTCCACGCGAAACTGATTACGTTTGTCGCCTAATCGATTAGCCCATTAAACCAAAGAGATTAGATACACGATTATTTATCGAAATCACACGTACGCGTCGAATATTCTGCGTAAAAGTCCGGATCGAACGGATATCAACGATAGACGGACGAAAGACGAGAAACGAGAAAAGAAGAACTCGCTTCGGAACAAGTTAAACTTGCAAACCGTTAAACGAGCGGAGCGAGCGAGCGAGCGAGCGGACCGTTGGGGTAGCAAGCGAACGAATAGGGAAACAAGCAGGCCTGGGTTAAACGGATGAGCATGCGGGAAGGCGGGCACAGAGGTTACTCGGAGCGACGATCGATAGACTCGCGCTTGCTCCGTTTCGCGTATGTTCCCGGTAAACTTCCCGAGCGAGTTTTAAGGAGACAGGCGTGATGCACGATCGAGATCAGTCGCGATGTAACCATAGCGTGAAACGGCCTCACACGGGCCCACCAGCCTTACACCGTCAAATGCGTGACGACGGTTGATTTTCTGTTTCGCCAGAATCGACACGCTATTGAAAACAACACCGGAAACAAGGATTCCCGAGTCTATGAATTCCGCCGAGCTTCAGCGTGCCGTCGAAGATCCGCTTACCAGACAGCAGGTATCTATTCCGTTCCTCCTCGAGGAACCCTTTTTCGAGCAACTAACCACCGATCCCTCAGCGGCAGCTACCGATTCTCCTTCCTCGTCTCCTCCTCTCCTTGGGACTGGACAATTTTCGACAATTTCCGTTACGTAAACGACACGGGGACGCTCGCCTCGCACCTTGAACGTTCAACAAAGTACCCCGTGTACTTGGTAGAATTTCATTCGAAACGCTAGTCGATTGCCACGCGCCCCGAAAATCGTCGATGCATCGCGACAACGGTCCATACGAGTCGCCTCGTTGTTTCGTCGATACGTTGCGCCGGATCTACGTAACGTCCCGATCGATAATCCTCGAAAACTACCAACTATCCGATCCGAACTGCATCGAACAACGAGCAAATCGCGGGGAAATCGAGTACTCGAGTCGAACGATTTGTCCGAAAGAACGATCGAGCGAAAGATTTGTCCGCGATAACGATCGGATCGGAGGAAATCGGAGGAAATCGGAGGAAAACGTTCGATACCTCGTCGCTATGCATCGCGATTTCGCGAGCCCACCGTTCACAGGATTCTCTGTCGGTGGACGGAATGCCTCGGTTACGGCTCGAGAATTTGCGGTGATTGAAACTTTACCGAGACTCGCATAGCGGTTCCGAGTGAACCAAACTAGAGATAGCGTCCCTCGTCGGTTACGTAATTTACTCGATTCTTGTTCCGAAATACAACGACATCGCGAACAAACGAACATTTAGACAAGCCTTATCATTCTCAAAGGAGAATGGCTATATATCCGCGGCAGCAAGTCGCACGAGGTCCTCAGTAGAAGATGATAGAGGACCAGATGCATCAACATCCGGTACGACTGCCGCCCGACAAACACGCCCATGTCGATGTCACAGGAACCAAATTTGAAAAGTACGTTGAACGACATTCTATTTACATTTCATTTTTCTTCTCGCCAACGCGACAACGGTTTCGAAAACAACTGATTCGTACACACGGATACGGATATTAGCGACTCGACAATTGTCCTCGCGCTTCATCTAACGATTAGCGGTTGTCTGATTTTTCCTTCTAAACCGCGTGTGATTTGGTGAGCGTTAAATGCCCGTGTTTGCGTATATTGTTGCTACCTATCGAAACAGACACACGAACGCGTTTTACTCCACTCGGTTAATCGACACACACACACACACACAGAGAGACGCGCACGTGCCTTTACCAGTGATTTTTTGTCAACAGTGACCAATGCAAAGAGCCTCTACTTTCCGAAAAACAAAGTTCCCACAGGGTAACGCCGGCGTGCACTCGGTTGCGCGCGATCTCGGAAGCACCCCGCGGAAACGTAGTTATGGGTACAAGTTTAGCTACGGACACGTCCATGGCCATGGCCACGGGTATCGGCCTGGGAACCGTCATGGGAACCGTCACAGAAATGGGTACGAGCGCGCGCGCGTAGCGTGCTTACCGTGCATAGCGTGCACACCGTGCACACCGTGCACAGCGTGCATAGCGTGCCGCCTAGGCAATGTCGGTGTGTTAATGTTGCTACCGCCACCTCGAATGTGACAGATACCGCTGCTGCTGCTGCTGCTGCCGCCGACAAATTGATAGAACAAAAGTGCGTGGAGGTGCCCATCTTCGACGAAGGAACCACCGACAGCGGTCGTCTTCCCGACGTTGTTGCCGAGAGTAAAATTTACGGTGTCATCGAGGATGAACCTCTCGAGTCGTACTTGGCAATTACCATTCAAGTTTTTATACCGTTTCTTATCGCCGGCCTTGGCATGGTGGGAGCTGGATTAGTTTTTGATTCGGTGCATGTACGCTGATCCATTTCTTCCTCGTTTTTCTTTCATTGTTTCGTTGTTTCTCCATCTTTACGATTCGTTTGTTTCGAGTAGACTTTTGCCCTCGCCTAGGATCGACCGAAAGATAATGCTTTCTTCTTCCCACCGTTTCTTTGCAGCACTGGATCGTATTCGAGAAAGTGACCGAGCTGATCATTCTGGCTCCGGCATTGTTGGGCTTGAAAGGCAATTTAGAAATGACCCTTGCATCGCGACTTTCTACTCAAGCGAATCTCGGACATATGGACACACGGAAGCAACAATGCTATATGATCGTTGGAAATCTCGTTTTAATTCAGGTGAGTCGCATATGCGCGTTCCTTGTACTTTTCCTCTTGCTTTTCCTCGTCATTTCCTACGCCAATT